AATTTGTGAAAAATGACCGATATTCAACTCAATGATGGTCAAATGGTACGATAGTTTTTCCGAAAAGGATATGCGCATGAGCCATGACCTGGAAGGAACAGAAGTTTTGCCTGCTATATGGGGTGAACTTTATGACTTGGTTGGCCGATTTTCAAAATCATTGATGGCACATTGATGGATTACCGAGCGAACAACATTTTCGTTTTTCGGATGAAAAATCGTTCGGAATTCGACCCATGTATGGCCTGCATTAATGAAAGACAAGTGCTCCAAAATTCCAGTAGAGAGGTATAAGAAACTCATTGATGGTTACAGGTAGCGATTGATTTCAGTTATTTTTTCCAAGGGGTGTGCTATCAAACAAAAATCGGAGATGCCAATTATTTTGTTCAGTCCATTTTTTGTGTTTTGCGTGGATTGTGTCAGTTTGGCTTCTTGTTTCTCCACTTTTTTGTGTCATTCCAATACAAACAAAAGAAATAAACATGAGATGGCCTAAACATTTGTAATTGCAACATATTTCTTGGCGAAGCAGTGCATTATCTGACAGAAATGCAGGGGTGCCAATAATTTTGTCCATAACAGTATATAATTTAATGCAGTGTTAGCCATGTACAATATGGTTAGAGTTGTACAGACTTTAGAGGATTTGTGTAAGATCTAATTTTTTCAAAAAAGTTGGATAAAAATGTATTAATTGTATCACAATGATTGGATGAACTGGGCCTTGTTTTCATTAGATCAAAGAAGACCGAGGGTGTCAGGATTACTTTGCAGTGCAACACCAAACAACAATGGGGATAGATTAGGGCTGTAGGCCTGTAACTCACCTTTATTACAGTGATAAGCCCAGAGTAAAAACAATGGTACAGGTGATGTCACAGCAAACAGGGAGCTGCCAGCCAATCACAGCAGTCGGGTAGTGTTTACACTGACAGATGAGTTATGTGTCTCTCACTTTGCTTTTTTTTTAGATATACACGAGTGTCTTGACAAAAAACATAATTGTGGTCAGAACACAGGTTGTAAGAACTCAGATGGAGGATATTACTGTGCATGTAACGAAGGCTTTGTTAAAGGGAACGTCACAGAGTTCTGTCCGACCGATAACAGAACAGAGAATGGATGTACAGGTGAGTGATCAGAGGCAAGAGCACACTGCAAAGAAAGTTATGCTCATCCTGTTAATTGTTCACACCCATCACAACTAGGGATGCACCCATAGCAGTTTTTTAATTGTTCACACCCATCACAACTAGGGATGCACTGATACCAGTTTTTTAATTATTCACACCCAAAAAAATATCAATGCGCCAATACCAGTTTTTTAATTGTTCACACCCATCACAACTAGGGATGCACCAATACCAGTTTTTTAATTGTTCACAACTAGGGATGCACCAATACCAGTTTTTTAATTGTTCACAACTAGGGATGCACCAATACCAGTTTTTTAATTGTTCACACCCATCACAACTAGGGATGCACCCATAGCAGTTTTTTAATTGTTCACACACATCACAACTAGGGATGCACCAATACCAGTTTTTTAATTGTTCACAACTAGGGATGCACCAATACCAGTTTTTTAAATGTTCACAACTAGGGATGCACCAATACCAGTTTTTTAATTGTTCACACCCATCACAACTAGGGATGCACCCATAGCAGTTTTTTAATTGTTCACACCCATCACAACTAGGGATGCACCCATACCAGTTTTTTCATTGTTCACACCCATCACAACTAGGGATGCACCCATACCAGTTTTTTAATTGTTCACACCCATCACAACTAGGGATGCACCCATAGCAGTTTTTTAATTGTTCACACCCATCACAACTAGGGATGCACCAATACCTGTTTTTTAATTGTTCACACCCATCACAACTAGGGATGCACCCATAGCAGTTTTTTAATTGTTTACACCCATCACAACTAGGGATGCACCCATAGCAGTTTTTTCATTGTTCACACCCATCACAACTAGGGATGCACTGATATCAGTTTTTTAATTGTTCACACCCATCACAACTAAGGATGCACCCATAGCAGTTTTTTCATTGTTCACACCCATCACAACTAGGGATGCACTGATATCAGTTTTTTAATTGTTCACACCCATCACAACTAAGGATGCACCCATAGCAGTTTTTTTTAATTGTTCACACCCATCACAACTAGGGATGCACCAATACCCGTTTTTTAATTGTTCACACCCATCACAAATAGAGATGCACTGATATCAGTTTTTTAATTGTTCACACCCATCACAACTAGGGATGCACCAATACCAGTTTTTTAATTGTTCACACCTATCACAACTAGGGATGCACCCATACCAGTTTTTTTAACACCAAGTACAAGTACTGATACTTTTTCTCAAATACTTGTTGATACCAATTACTGATACCTACTTTTGAACCGCATCCAATTTGCATTGCATGTTTACCAAATCGGCATTTTATGGAGCCGGTTGACATGTGTGGGTCGGCTACATCGTGATTATATCCCTGGTTCACATAAGTGCGGTTTATGATGCTTTTTGAAGCGTGTGAATTCACATGACAAGCCAATGTGTTCCTATGGAGGGTGTTCAGATAGATGCGTTGGGGTTGCAGTGCGGTTTTGAAAAAGAGCCCTGTGCGATTTTTGGACTGTGCAATCTGAATTCACGTCTATGCATTTCATTGAGAACTGTCAGATTACATTGCGGTTTGTGCATTTCCATGCCAAATCAATCAGTGGAGACAATATAGGAGTTCAGTGTCCTCTATCACTGAAAACCCACAAGCCAATCGGGAAAGGTCTGGCCCAGTCACATGACAATTTCAGATTCTCCTAATTGGCTGCAGTTTCCGCCAGTTACACATTGGAGGGATGGAGCAGACTTGCTGAGCTGTGTGTTAGAGGAAGCCCAGCTGTAGTGGGGTTATTGTGTGCCCTTCTGTCAGCTAGACAGCTGCCTCCTCTGCCTTGGGGTCCTGGTGACCCCGAGGCAAAGAGAGAGAATTCAATGGGAGCCTTGGAACGCAATGCGTCCAAATGGTCTGTGCTTTGATTTTGCTGTTGGACTATGGAGGTACCGCATGGACAGAGGGAGAGAGAACATGAATCAAATGAAAAACACGCTGCTTTTCAAAGTAAAACCACATATGATTGACACACCTGAATCGCAATGCAATTCGGAGCATTTCTGGATTGCCTATATGGGAACCGAGTCTCTGGCCCTGCACATATGTGAACCCAGTGCGGACTTGAAGATATCAGTTTTAGTATCAAGCATTTTCATGAATACAAGTGTTAAATAACAAGGGAAGAGCTGAAGGGCTCTGATTTAGAGCTTCTCTTTGCATGGCAATTGCGCAATCATGCAACACTGTACCCAAATTACATTTTTGTAATTTTTTTGAGACAGAACTTTCTTTTGGTGGTAGTTAACTACCTATTGTTTGCCAAACAAACTAAAAAGTTTGAAAAGAAAAACATTTTTCTTAGTTTCTGTTATAAAATTTAGCAAATAAGTAATTTTTCTTCTTTAGTGATGTGCACTGATGAGGCTGTACTGATGGGTACTGGTAGGATGCACTGATGAGGAGACACTGATGGGCACTTATAGGTTGCACTGATGGACACTAATTGGCAGTGATGGGGCTGCACTGACAATCAGTGCCCTGATTATCAGTGTAAATGTTCCCTGTTAGGATTGCTGATCACCAGCTCTCCTTTCCTCACGCTGTGACAACGCATGAGGAAAAAGGCTGCTGATAACAGGGCAAGCCTGTTTACAATGAGATTGGCTGTGATTGGCCTTTTACTACAATCTGTGATCAGCTGTCTGAAGGATACAGTGGTCACAGAGCATGCCCAATGCGCGCCCCATGGCCACACGGTGGAGTGGAGTAAATAACACCCTCCCAGATCTAGCCGGCTGCGCTGCAATCATCTTTCGGCTATAGTGCAGCTGGAAAGTGGTTAACCGCAGAAGTACTGCTACAAGGGGGCAGGGATGCACAAAATCACATAATATATATACGTGATTTTGTATTCCTGGGTAGGGGGCGTGCGGGCACGCTCCCTACCCGCGCCAATCTTGCCTCCTTGGCATGCCAATCACCAGGTCCCGGCCCCCAATTTTCGTCCGGGACTTGGTGATCGTCAGTGGAGCTGACACGGGAGAGGTCTGTATGTAAACAGCACAGATCTCTCCCCTGTCAGCAAGAACGGGCTGCTTTGTATTGCTCTGCCCCTCGCTGCATCCTCACTGGCTGTGATTGATAATAGCAGGGGCCAATGGCTCCTGTACTGTATCTGAGCTAATGTAAGTTGGGGGGGCAGCTGCATGCAGAAGGGTTTTTACCTTAATGCACAAAATGCATTATGGAAGAATACAACTTTCTGCCTTTACCAGCACTTCAAAACACTCACTAATTAATTAACCCCTCACCTACCGGGCGCTTATACCCCCTTCCTGCCCAGACCAATTTCCAGCTTGCAGCGCTGTCACGCTTTGAATGACAATTGCACAGTCATGCAACACTGTACCCATATGAAATTTTTAGCATTTTTTTGAGACAGATAGAGCTTTATTTTGGTGGTATGTAATCACCTCTGGGTTTTTTATTTTTTGCTAAACAAACCAAAAACCACTGAAAATTTTGAAAACAAAAACGTTTTTTTCTTAGTTTTCGTTATAAAATTTTGTAAATAAGTGATTTTTCTCCTTCACTGATGTGCGCTAATGAGGCTGCAGTGATGGGCACTGATAGGCTGCACTGATGGACACTGATAGGTGGCACTGATGGGCACTGATGAGTAGGCACTGGTAGGTGGCACTGATGGGCATTGACAGACATCACTGAAAGGCAGCACTCATATATGGCACTGATAGGCGGCACTGATAGGCAGCACTGACTGGCCCTGTTAGGTGGCACTGACTGGCACTGTTAGGCAGCACTGATAGGCAGCACTAATGCCCACTGATAGGCGGCACTGACTGGCACTGATAGGCGGCACTGACTGGCACTGATTGGCAGCACTGATAGGTAGCACTGACTGGCATTGATAGGTGGCACTGACTGGCACTGATAGGTAAAACTGAAAGGCAGCTCAGATGGGCACTGATATGTGGCATTGATGTGCACTGCTGGGCACTGATATGTGGCATTGATGTGCAACTGATGGGCACTGGCAGGTGGCATTGATGAGCACTGATGGACACTGACAGGTGGCACTGCTGGGGCTACACTGATCATCAGGGCACACTGATCATCAGTGCCCTGATGATCAGTGTACATGTTCTCTCTGAGTAAAGCCGATCTCTCCTCTGTCTGCGTGACAGCTCGTGAGGAGAGAAATGCCGATAACCGGCATTTCCCTATTTGCATGTGATCAGCTGTGATTGGACACAGCTGATCACATGACCAAGCCGACATCTTCGGCTCTTTCCGTTGATCGCTGGTAGGTTACTTGGCTCCTGTCTAAATTGTCCCTAGTATGTGTATATATGAATGTAAGCTAGGGACCTTAGATTGTACTCCCCTTGAGGGTTAGGGACTGATATGAATGTACAATATATATGTAATGTGCTGAGTAAATTGACGGCGCTATATAAGTACCTGAAATAAACAAAATGAATTATTTACAACTGTATCCAAACATCTCCATGTATCCCTACCAGACATTGATGAATGTGGAGGACCTGACATCTGTAACATATTGCCTAACACCGTCTGTATAAACACAGTAGGATCATTCAAGTGTGTCTGTAAATCAGGTTTCCTAAACATCTCCAATCAGTGTAATGGTACGTGTCATTTTTATTTTCATCACATCAGTTTAGGTCAGTTGTTCGCCTGGTAGAGTTCTGCTCTATTTTGTTCTAGCCGGTCTTACTGGAAACTGGCTCTGTTTCTTCAATGTTAGTATTTACTGTGAGCAGAGTTTGGTTATCTGTAAGGTACTTATCCAAATGTAGGTTACAGCGATGCATATCTAAAACCAGGGTTTCCCACAGTGGTCAATGGTGGATGGGACCACCCAAGGGGTTGATAAAATAGGTGGGGCTCACAAAGGGGTCAGTAAATGACTGGGGGTCAATAGATGGTCAATAATTGGTGCAAGATCAAATATGGGTCAATAAATATAGATATCTCTGTAGAAAGCCACACTATTCCCTAATCCTGAAGGTGAGCTGGCTAACGGCAAGACAGTGTTACCCAAGGTTGGTGAGCTGCCAGTGAGAGCTCTTGACGTGTCTCTATCAGACTACAGACAGGCTGGGTGTCTGCAAGGCATCTTGTAGCCCCAATTAGGAGATGAGGAACACAAACTGACCATGCCGGCACAATCTACTTCTGGCCTGAATGTTAAAGGAAGGCTAGGGGACTGGCAAGATCATTAGGCAGTTAATGTTAATTAGCAGACTCATAGGTAATAAAGAACTAGTGACAGGAGTTAATATGTACAAAGAAATACAATTATAAAAAGTCATTATTAACCACTTACCTACCAGGCACTTTTATCCCCTTCCTGCTCAGACCAATTTTCAGCTTTCGGGGCTGTCTCACTTTGAATGACAATTGCAGTCATGCAACCCTGTTCCCAAATGAAATTTTTATTTTTATTTTTTTTTCACACAGAGTTTTCTTTTGGTGGTATTTAATCACCACTGGGGGTTTTGTTTTTTGTTAAAAAAAGACCAAAAATGTTGGGAAAAAAATAAAGTTTTTCTTAGTTTCTGTTATAAAATTTTGCAAACAGGTAATTTTTCATTTTCACTGACGTTCAGTGATGAGGCTGCACTGATAGGCTGTACTGATGGCACTGATGAAGCAGCACTGGTGGGCATGGATGAAGAAGAACTGATAAGGCTGCACTGATAGGCGGCACTGAATGGCACTGATTGGAGGAACTGATGGGCATAGATAGGAGGCACTAATAGGTTGCACTGATCGACACTGATCAGCATTGATAGGCAGCACTGATGAAGCACTGTTGGGGCAGTGTCCTGATTATCAGTGTAGATGTCCTTTTCACACTTGCAGGGTACCAGCTTTCCTCTTTTCACACTGTGACTGCATAAGGAAAGGAAAAGCCGATAGCCGGCAAGTGTGTTTACATCATGATCAGCTGTGATTGGACACAGTTGTCCACGTGGTAAAGGGCCATTGTGATTGACCTTTTATATCTCTCTGTGATCATCTGTGTGAAGGATGCAGCAATTACAGAGTGCACCGGGAGCATGCTGCAGTGGGCTCATGGGGGATGCAGTTCTGGGAGGACATCAATAGACACCCTCCCAGAACTGAACGACTGCGCTGTAGCTGTCATTCAGCTATAGCACAGTCGGCAAGTGGTCCAGGTTTGAAAAGACTTTAATTTATCCTGAAACTCAGAAAATATCAGGATTGTACACTAAGCTGTGCATGTGCATAGTCTATTCAGTAATAAAAAAAAACTTTCCTACTTGCAAATTTTTCTTTTTAAAAGGTAAAATAACGCTTTAAGCCTACACTCTGTTGTGTTCCATAATGCATATCTCAATCTCTTTGTACAAATGAATATGACAACAATGACCACTGAAAAGGACCTAATTATAAAAAATAAGTAAGAGAACATACATCTGTTTGTGTCCTGCTAGATGCTGCTGATTAGCTCGGGCGTCCTCCATTATCATCTCTACACTGAACTCTCAGAGCTCGGATACAGATGGGTTTGGGGACACCCAAGCTCACCTGTAGTATAAACATAGCAGGTATTGGGATACATGATATGCACATTCTGCTCCTATGTCAGCGACCCCCTAAGCAGTGAAAGAACATTTGGGATGACAGCCCCTGGACCTTGCAGTATGAGAAACAAATCTGCAATGATTTGATAACCTAACATCTGTAAAATTTCCTACACTCATTAATGAGTCATTGATAATCATTAAGAAAACCTTCTACTGAGATATGGAGCAGGCAGCGAACCTCCCAAATGCCCAGAATGCACTGAAAAGTGGTAAATTATTAACTATTTCAGACTGTTTCAGAGAAATAGAGAGTAGAAGCAGAGACAGCAGTATGTGTTGAGATTAGCTTAGGTGTGAGTTGCTCATTAACATTTCTTTTGTTTCCAAGGGTGGGAAAGGTGTCTGGTGGAGTGAGTCATTAAGGCCACCTGGCATTGGGTCTGCATGAGGTGTGAATGGTCATTAACATATCTTTTGTTTCTAAGGGTGGGAGAAGTCTGAGGTGTGAATTGGTCATTACAATGTGTGACAAGCTTGGTAGGAACATCCTGTGTTCAGTGTTTTGTCCACCTGAGTACCTTGAAAATGCTTTGCATGTATTTTTCATGATGAAAAAAGGCTCTGGCCAGCATCGGGAACTGGAAGAGTTAAAAAAACATTTCAGATGCAAACGCTTATAAATACGATTTGCCTTGTTCTGGTGCATTTACAAGTATATTGTGTTTGAAACGCTGAGTCGATAAAATTGACTGCTGAACGCAAGTTTTCTGCATTAAAAAAAAACAACTGTAAACTCAAATGCCTGTAAACGACTAAATGAAGAAGTGTACATGGACACATAGGAAAACATTAGGGAGAGTTCAGGGGCTGCTGAAAAAAAATGCTGAATAGCTCCTAAAAGCCCCACTTCAGCTGCAGTGTACATGAGCCCCAACAATGAACTTCACTTATGTCCTCCATTTTTGTCTACAATTATACCATTGAGCAAGCTTTGTTATACCTGTTCAGCAGGTGCAAAAATACCTTTTGATCCTACTAGAGATTAAGTGCTGTCCTGTGCTCTATGTAGCCTTGTCTCAAGCAGTGTCATCAGCTCTGGACAGGTCACAGTCTGTCCTAGGGTCACAACCCTGCTTCCTTACAGATACAGTGTGTTATTGGCAGAATCACCAGGTAAAACAAAGAAAAAAAAGCCTGAAAAGAAAACTAATGTAGCCACCACATCTATATAAGTGCTGGTAAGCTTCAATACATTATATTTTTCATTCTTGGGTTTAGATACATTGTAAAAATGACAAATTATCAGGAACTTGAAGTGTTCCTGCGCCATCACAGCTGCTGGTCTCATTCCAGCATCCTGGGTTTTGGTTGTGGTACATTCTTCCTATCTGTCCACCTGCAAGGTGATTGTTGTGGCCAGTTTCTGGGCGGAGACCAAACCTGATTTAAGCCAGCCAAGCCAGCAGTCTCATGTCTCTTCATATTGTGTTTCTAACACATGCTTCAAGCCCCCTGTTTGTCTGCCTTGCCTGCTAGTTTGTATTCCCTCATTGATGACCTCATATCAGATATCAACTACTCTCTGAACTCTGCCTGCCTTTTGACCCTAACTATTATGAACCTTGCCTGCCTTATACCTGGACTGTCACTAAACCCCTCTGTCTGCCAACCGCAAGTACCTCTTTGCTGCGTTCAGTTTGCTCCTGCCCCAGCAAGGTGGCCAGGCACTAAAGCCAGGCTTGATATACACAATGCTGTAGTTGTAATATAAGTCTCTGGGGCAGCTGAGTGCCAGTAAGCCTGCTTGCCTTATGGGAAAGGGGGCTGCTGTAGGTGAAGAGCACAGAAGCCAGCTATAGTGTCTGACCACCTGCATGAGGGGTAAGTTCGACATACATTTGTCAGGGTGTTAGCTTGAAAAACAATATATTATATATTTATTATGATTCAGAAGATCAGAGACAGTAATACCTATTGCCTACTAACCAAATATATTAAATTGCTTGAATTTTTCTAATTTGCAAGGAATTACTAAACAATTGGACTTGTATTAACAACACAGATTACATTCCAGTTCCCAATACCCAAAAATGCACAACATGAAGCATATTGTTTTACTATAAACTGTTTAAACTTTTATCTACATTGGTTGGAATAAAAAAGCAGCAACCCAATTATGCAAATGTTCCATAGTATTAATAAATGAGTCCTAATGATGCCTAAGGTAAAATGTGCAATAACATAAGGAAGAAATGAGGAAACAGAAAAAAAATATTACAGATGTAAAAGTTTTTCAGACAAGAAAATGTTTACATTTGGTTCCATAGATAAAATAAATAGGAATAAACTCCTGAATTATCAGATTCATTTGATATTAAAGTTTTAGATATTTAATTCATTTGAGAAGATTGTCAGACACAAGGAAGTTTGGATACAGTATTTAATAAATTTGTTTAAGAAAAAAAATAGTATTAAAAAATCATTTAGAGCAGGGTTTTTCCTCTAGGGTTCCTTCAGAGGTTGCTAGGGGATTCCTTGAGCAATGAGCAATTTCTGCTTCCCAGATACATTCCCACTGACACCGTTGATCTTTTTGGTCATCTGTAGGGTGGTAATTCTTCCCCAAGTCCACAAGTGTAATGCCTGGTATACATGATAAGAAAATTGGATGAAAAAAAGAAAAAAAAAAAAAACCACAACAACACATTCACAGCGATCATCCGATATTTTGATCGTTAGTACACAGCTTTCGTAAGCCGATCATAGTTCATGCAAATATAACAGGGACAAGCACAAAAATTTTTCTCATAAGATAATAGAACGAATAGTTTTTGTGTAATTTGTATAATATTTAGTATAGTATTTGTACAAAAAGAAAAACCCAAGTGACAAAGACCACGCATGTCCAGAAAAGAAAAAATACATTACAATACTATACAAAAGATTACATCACTTCCAAAATTGTATTCTGTCTTAAAAGAATTTTCGTAATTTTAGTAACCTCTTTGTTTTTGATATAAGACCAGCATGCAAAAACAAAAAAAAATGGCCGGTCATTCATCTGATATTGTCATCGTGTATACTAGACATAAGAAGCATAGTTCCCACTGACTTTCACACCATAATGTATCATGCGTTGTAGATATAGTAATTTTTAGCAGGGGTTCCCTGAGACTGGAAAGTTATTTGAAGGGTTCCTCTGTGTTGAAAAGGTTGAGAAAGACAGATTTAGAATTTGGGGCAGAATGAGCATGGGAGGATAAATTTTTCTTTTTATTCCAATGAAATCAACCATTATGCAACAGAGAACAATGAACCTACACAGATACAAAAAAAGGAAGATGTAAAAGAACCCAAATGGAAATATGCAAATATGAAATATTAAATGCAGAGATAAATGAAGAACAGCATACAATTTATTTTCCTTTGCTCTTCTCCTTTTCCCTTTATTTTCCTTCTAGTTGGGAGCAGAGCATCAAAAACTATTAGAGGAGGGGTAGTCATTTGTATCAAATATTGATTTTTAGATATTTGAAAAAGTCACATTTATTTGCTATGAAATTAGCTTTAAAAAAAAAAAAGTACACGCATGAGAAAAAAATGGTAATATTTACATCAGAAGAATACATTGAGAGAGGATCTTGGAGTCTCTGCAAAGAGAGACTGAAGAAGAAATGACTAAAAAAAAAGTTCCTTTTACAAATTTACTTTATCTCCATTTGCACCAGAGGGAAGTATTTAACTTTTTTTTTAATATGGCAGAGAATAATTTAACAGTACTGTATAAGACTCAAAAGAGGATCAAAACTCAATTTGGTTTACAGAGACATGCACTAAGAAAACTGTAAGAAAAAGAGTTTTTAATAAAGCCAGCTGATAAAGGACAAAATTCTGTAATTATGAATAAATACCATTATTTGAAAATGTGCCTAAAAGTTTTGAGTGATAGAAGAAATTTTCAGAATTTAACTCAGGATCCTACTTAGAATCCAGAACATTTCTTAAAGGACCATGAGAAATTTCTAAGGCAAATTCACAAAAGGAATACAAATGTATAATAATATAGTATCCAGCTGTTGGAATACTTCTTCTAGTGTCTTAAGGCGATTATGAATGAAAGAGCCATTGAAATAAAAAATGAAGTGTGATTTTATTCTATCACACAATGATGTCAAATAACAATGTAAAGCGTATTATGAACAGTTCCATGTAGATAAAACTACTGTAAACAAAGTCACCATTATCTGTCATGGCTATTAGAGATGAGCGAAGTATTCAAAAATTCGA